CCAGAGAGGAAGAAAACAACACACTACCCTTCCTGGACATCCTCATCAGCAGAGGAAACAACACTAAATTAGGAACCCAAGTTTATCAGAAGACAACCCACACAAACCAAAGTAACAACCCAACCTCCCACAAGAGGAGCTGGGTAAGAAAATTATTCAAGTGAGCACAAATGCATTGCAGCAACCCAGAACAGCAGAAAAAGGAAACAGACCACCTATACAAAATCTTCTAACAAAATGGATACCCACGCAACTTTATCAAAAAGTGCCCGACCACTGGTAAGAAAATTATTCAAGTGAGCACAAATGCATTGCAGCAACCCAGAACAGCAGAAAAAGGAAACAGACCACCTATACAAAATCTTCTAACAAAATGGATACCCACGCAACTTTATCAAAAAGTGCCCGACCACTCAACTTCCTACAACACAACCAGCACAACCTATGAAAAGGATCACACTGCCATACATCAGCAACGTCTCAGAAACCACCAACAGACTATTAAAACCACATGGCATCTCCATAGCACACAAACCAGCTAAAGCCCTCCAAAACATCTTAAGCAAACCAAAAGACCCACATCAGCAACGTCTCAGAAACCACCAACAGACTATTAAAACCACATGGCATCTCCATAGCACACAAACCAGCTAAAGCCCTCCAAAACATCTTAAGCAAACCAAAAGACCCAGTAGCACAGGAAGAAAAAATAGTCATCTACAACATACAGTGTAAGGACTGTAACAACCACTATGTAGGACAGACAGGCAGAAGACTAGCAGAGTGCATCCATGAACACCAACTAGCAGTCAGAAGATGTGATGAAAACTCCTTAATCTCACAACAGGTGGACATACTTAACCATAGTTTCAGCTGGGAAACTGTCAGCATCTTAGACCAAGCTAAATCCAAAAATTTGAGGGAATTCTTGGAAGCTTGGTATTCAGACAAGGCAGCCATCAACAGGCACATAGAGATAAACAGCACCTACACACTATTCAAAGGAGACAATAGAAAGGAAAACAAAAGACCGGAGCATCTCCTCACCAGCAATCATCACCCAGATAAGCAGAGATTAACACTAAGATTATTACCAGACATACAATCAAGCAGTAAACAATAAATTAATCAAGGAACTACCAGAAAGGAAAAACAAAACAAAACAAAACTCCCAGCCCCACCAAGGCTGGCAGGGCATGCCACAGTATATAAACAGAGAGCAAGCCCCACTCCATTCTAGCACTGATGATGTTACTTAGTTGGGTAATGAAACATCTGCAGGCAAACAAGCAAGCTCAGAGAGCCCCAAGGACTCCACAGTTCAACCCTGAGCTACACATATTCTCTTCTGTTAGACAAAATATGTCAACATAGAACATTCCTGCATTGTCTTGTTGCTAATGGCCACATCACAGGGCGTGGAATGCATGATGTTCACCTTTCTACTCTTGGTAACAAATGTGTGTTCTTTCAGCCATTCTCAATTAAATGAAATTGTTTGTTCTGGCATTTTGGACCAGTGGTCAAACAAGTGCTAGGTTTAGCAGAAACTTCCCTTGGTTCACTGAACCAAATACTATAGTGCACTTCTTTTACATTCAGCCTAAGCAGCACACTTTTATCTGACATATGCAATTTTAGGTTTGTTTTTATTCCCCATGCTCACACGCCTTTTTTCCCCCCAAACACAACTTTTGTTCCCCCCTCCCTTTTCTCTCTCTCTCTCTCTCTCTCTCTCTCTCATACATACTTATATGGGATTTTTGGCTTTTTGAGTGCTGGGTTATGCCAGTATCTGGTGTCCTAGCAGCAGACTTTTTAATTGCGCTGCCTGCCAGAACGGGAATGAAAAAAGGGTTGGAAGCTTGTCTCCGGGTCCAGCTATTTGTTTTGCTTCATATATTTCCTTCCTACCCAGACCATTCTGACTCACTACCATGTAGACTCCTTGGAGGCTAGTTAACTGTGCAGCTGTGTGAATTTGTACTGCCTCCAAATTAGGGCTATAACACCTGGGCTGCAGAAACTGAGATAACCATTGATGGCAGCAAAGTGATACAGAAAACCTGCTGCTGCTGTCTAGTAGCTATCCAGATGTTTGCAACCCAGGTATGATAGCCTTACTCCACGGCCCATCACATGAGATGTCAGGAAAGTAGATAGAGGTTGGAGCCGATAAAAGGTGGACCAAAGGGTGGAGGTGGATAGAGGGCAGAGTTTTAAAAACCCAGATATTTGGTGAAATTCCAAATGTCTGGCCACCCTACTCATTGAACTGCCATTGTATATTGTGTTTTATATTTCTATGACAAGATATTGCAGTTATGTTCTTATTATCTGGAAGTGAACTCTGTTAAGGCTTAGTGGTATTCTGACTGCTAGCATTCTGTACTGCTGTTTGCTTTGTGTCTGCAACAAAAACTGACATAACTGCTACATCATTACAAAGTTCACTGGTTGATTTCTATTGGTAAGTTGCTATTAGAACACCCAAACACTGGAGGTTTCTTGTTATGTACACAAATTGAATTTCAGGCATCTAGCTACAACTGCACATGGTGGCTGGAGGGATAACACAGTGCTGTGCTCATTATTTGAGCTTTCCTCTTATTGTGTCAGTAGGCCTAGGCAAAGCTTAAAATTAACTTGGGGAAAAAGGCTTTGGAATGTGCAAGAACACAAACGCTGCACCTGTTTCTGAATTAGCCTCTTCTGAGGCCACTTCAGTGCATGCGTGGAAGAGTCCCCTTATTATGCAAGTATAAGAGCCCCTTGGTCCATGACTGACTGGTGGTTCTTTCAATTCACAGAACCATCTCTGTGTCTGTCGGTTATTATTTTCTTCCTCTAGTTGTATTTCAGTGTTTAGTTTTCACAGTATACATTACTGTTAGAAAGACCATTTTGTTTTAAATAGTTAATCTTCTTTGTCATAGGAATAGTCTATTTATTCTTCATGATCTTGTCTAAATTCATTAGCCTTCCTGCTTACTATTAATTTTACTGCTCCAGCACACTGTTCATCATCTGTTTTAGAAACCAAGGAAACAAATCTATCTTCTAAATATTTAAATTTAATCTAGATCTTTCACTTTCCATTTTTATTTTCATAGCGAAAACCTTTTTTACTTTTGACTAACAAATTGTCATAATCTGCATATCCCACGTTTGTAAGTGTTTCAGACTCCCAGACTCCCATTCTGATTCCAGTTCTCATTCCTTCCAATCCTGCAGTTCTTAGATTCACTGTACACGCCTCACCCGAAGAAAAACTACGTTTCCCATAAGGTCTTGCGCGATTGTAGGCCTTAAAGAAGCACTACAGCATACAGGATATACCTCACGCTAATGCCTGATTCGGGAAATGAATGAATTCCGCTGCCCGCCAAAATACTTCAGTATGGGCTGATAAAAAGCCTAGCTCTTTCTCTGCCTTGGCGGAGTGGAAGTGTTAGTCCCAGCGGGGTTCGGCTTCGCAAAATTAAATGCTGCTATCAGGGATTGGAATAGACACCCCGAGAGTCTTGGGCGGGAGGGGGTCGAGGAAAATCGAGGTCCTGACAGCCACGGCGACCAAATTGGAGTGAGGGAGCACCGTTGAATCTCAGCTGAGGTCTTGACTGCGTCGCGCGTGTCGGTCACAGAATTCGAGTCTGGCCGAACTGGAGCTGCTGTCTCGGGGGACAGCGCGGACAAAATGAGCGGGAAAGAAGGTGGCGGTGGGACACGGGGAAGGGAGGGGCCCTCGCCTGAGGATCAAGAGCAAGGGTGCGGGGAAGGCCAGCGGCCCCTTTCCCCACCTGCTGCCTTTCCCAGGCTCTTTATTTTAGCCTCGGTTCTTCATTTCACATTGCTGCATTTTCTCGCCTTCTGTAATCCTACTCTTGTTCCCCCTAGTACAGTGTTTCATCCCCAACGGTTGTTAGGAAGTTTAGGCAGCAGTAACAACAACAAGAAAAAAAGCTTGCTGACCTTAAAAATGCATACAAGCCCAATTTCCAAAGGTTGCTTTTTGTGGGGGAGCTCTTGTGCCTGTAACAAATATGATGATCAAACACATCATGTAATGGGAGAGGCAGACACCTACCATGTGCAATATCATTCCTGTTTATACCTTCAGTCTAGGAGTTCACATGTCAGAGCAGTCGGTCTCCACCTTGGGCCCTTTTGGAGGTGGGGGGGGGATCCTCCCCAAAATCATCTTAACCTCCCTGTAGCGGACGTGGATTGGTGG